CATTATCTTAGTATATATTCTCACTGCTGTGGCCAATGCTTTGCATTAGGTATTAGTAGATGTTGAATAAAACTTTGCTGAGTAAATAGCTCTCTTCTTGCCAATATATTTATTATATATTTTTGAACCACATGAGAAATGACTCTGTATGAATACTCTCATTTTTTCATCATTTAAATATGAATCCTGATAAATTCAGTTAATATGAACAGTCGATCCTTTTTTCAATAAGAAAAAGTCATAAGTAATGATAAAATTGATCTATTAAAATAATTCCTTTGTTTTTAAAAAAATCTTTGATATGGGCAACACTATTGAAAAGATTTCAGCATTTCTAATTATGAAAACTGTAGCTTGCAGAGTTTGGCACATTTTTCACATTTGTCAGCTCCGGCAATGTGAAATATGTTCTTCATTTGAATTCTCTTCCTATACCACCTGCTGTCAGGCAAAAAGAATTTCCACTTTGCTGCTGCTTCTTATTAAGCTGCTATAAACAAGAATGCTTGAAGGCAACTTATGAGCAAATGACTAGAAATTTCTGATAACCTTAAGACTCAGTCCCAAATTATATTATTAACTCTGTGAGTAATCTAGGGAAAAACAATAGGGTTTCATTCACCCATACCCTCCAAGGTTATAGATTTACAATTTAGTATAGCCATTAATGACGCTAACTCTTGAGATAGTTTTGTTTTGTTGTTTTTTGTTTTTGCCTTTTAAACCTCAGGAAACATGGTCAATTTTTCTCTCTGATGTAATTAAAACTAACAAGTCCTTGCTCATAAACTGTTCTTTTATTCCTAGAAGCTTGCTTTAAAAGGGCTCTATCCTTTTCTGTCTTTGCTTTTTCTAGTTACCTAAATTATATTAAATGTATCATATGCATTATAACTTATGGTATAGAATTAAAAATGTATAAGTTGTCAGGAATCATACTAGCAGAGAAGTAGAAAAGGTTGGAAAAGGGGTTAGTTTTGTATTAGTAAGACTTCTCCACAAAACTGGCTGGGAATTGATTACTTTTTGTTTTCAAGAAAACGTTCTCCAGCATGACATCTTTAACCCTGTAGAGAAACATTAAGTTGCCCCTTCCCATACTTACAAGAGGGAGTGGGTTTTTTAAAATTAATAGAAAAGTCAAACATTTAAAGCACTCCGATCTTAAAAGCCTTTCCTATTTAAAGAAAAACTGAAATGCTGCAGTTTATACAAAGTCTTATTTTCCTAGATTAAAATTTTAAAAGCAAAGTTCTGTATATATAAGCAAAGATATATTCTGCATCTTTTAAGTGTAGACATTTAAGGGTAAAATAGAAAATTGTTGTTTAAAAAGTACTTTTCTATGGGCAAAGTGGTTTTGTCATATCATATATTCCCTGTTCCCTATTTTGGTTTATCTCTATAAATAGAATTTATTCTAACATCAGTCCACTACTACTGATTTTTATATATACACAGAATATTAACTATAACAGATGGGTATATTTGGCATATCTCCCAAATTGTCTTTGCACTTTTAGCCAGTTATGTTTTTGGTTTCCTTGAATTTTCCCTTAGGGGCCGGCTCCCTGTTGGGTTTTACAGTCATGTGGTATCTTCTTGTAGGAGTACAGACACAACAACACAGATAACAGTTGGTAAAAGTAGCTAAGCGAAAGGAAACTGGCCACCTCAGGTAACTGAGGGTCAGTGTTGACCTCAGTAGGTGGATGTCTGGCTCTGCCTGCTTGCTCTTTTCCTCCTTTGAAAATAAATGAATGTTGGGCAGAGGGTGAGCAGAGGAACTGTTGGGGTACTTTTTCCAGTTCTTTTGGCTGGAGCAAATGCCATTTCTTTTCCATCATTCCCTTTATCCTCACCGTCAGCCTTTTCTGTGGCTTCTTTTATTTTCCCTCTTGCCTTTTACAGGAGAATTGGGCCTCAGAAATATGATCAGTACATGATATTCCTGGGATAGTTTTATATTTCTTTCTTCTTTGTATGTTTTTAAGATAAAGATGAAGCAAATTAAAATCCAGGTATATTTTAATAACACAAATGACCTAAAGGTAATTATGGATATTAAATAACTCATTGCCACTCATTTCCTATAAAGTTATAGTTTGGCAAGCTTCTTTGCCACTTGAAGTGAAAACTGATAGAACTCTCTTCTGTCTTTAAGAATGCAGCCGAATATTTGCAAAAAAATACATGAATCTTTTTTAAAAGACATATAGTAAAATTTAATTAAATTCAGTCCAATGAAGAGGAGGACCAGTTTAGATTAGAGAACCATCTGAAGTGCAGAATGGTTTAGAATTATACCATCCTAGCAATGCCTAGGGTGGCGTTCATGTTTCTTTTCCACAATTGTATTCCTAGTACAGAGCATCTATTATGTGCAACTGGCACATTTTAAATGCTTGGTAAAGATCTATTGAATGAATCAATGAATCTTAGAGGCTTTTGGTTTACTTCTTAATTTTAGAGATGAAGAAGCTTTATCAAGAGACTGAATGGCTTAGGCGGAAGCAGAGCCCAACTTACTTGATGGTTGTTGAACATTTTTAAAAGAAATCATTTTTATTATTTTCAAGATATGTAATAATTGGAACTAAGTCAAACATATATAATAATGAGATTTTTAGACATGCTGCTTCAATGAATTGACCATTATAGTTGTGATTAGCATATTCTTTGTAAATAGGTAATTATAATGTTCTTGTGGAGGTACTTAAGTGGCTTGCTTTCTTAGTTGTTAAAATACTTTTTCTTTAATATTGTTCATGTGGTTAATTTGTTAGGAAACCCTTTGTTGCAAGTTACACAAAGGTTCTTTTAGTAGACTCCTCTCTCTGGGCTATCATAAAGTCTGCATTTGTTAAACAATATATTATCATTGACTTCAGTGTGGAGGGACTTTAGAAAGTATCTACTTCAAGCAATTTATTGTTCAGAGGAGGAAACGGACCTCCAGTTAAGTAACTTGTCAACGTCACATCAATAGTTAGTGGCAAAGCTAGAAATAGAGCCTGGGTTTTATGGTTCTCTGTCAGTGTATCTTTGTTGTAAATAATGGACTTCTTACTGCCGTATAATATGTCAATCTCTTGGTATAGATTTATCTAGGCAATGATATATATTAAAATATAGGGCTTTGAGGGGCAGCCTTAAATATAAAATTGGTTAAACTAAGCTTTTCTCTATTCCCTAATGCTCAGGCCAGTTGGTTGTTGCAGAGGGAGTTAGTGAGAGGGAGTTTCAAAGAGAAAGGGGAATTTTAACAATGTCAGGTTTGGAGCAAACACCTGGAAAGGGTCTGAAAACCTCTGTCAAGAGGAGGGTGAGTGATTAGGAGGAGACTAAGCTATATTGTGTCTATACTGAGTAATGTTTTTGCACGTATTAAGAAAAGACTGGATTAGCCAAGCATGGTAGTATTTGACTATAGTCCCAGCTACTTGGGAGGCTGAGGCAGGAGAATTCTTTGAGCCCAGGTGTTCAAGTCCAGCCTGGGCAACATAGTGAGACCCTCATCTCTTAAAAAAAAAAATGGCTCAAATAGCTCTGTATTTACTGATTGAAGGCATAGCCATGACAGAAGTGAAAAAGGCAAGTTGCAGAGTAACGTGTTATCTCATGAAAAAATAAAACTCTACATATGTGTGTGTGTGTATATGTTTTTATATATGCATATGTTTATGGATGTGATATTTGTATATATTTGAGTGAACCTAAAGAAATAACCAGGCTAATAATATTCATTATATCATGAAGTAGAGTTTGGGAGAGGAATTGTTAACTTTTCCTTCATTTATTGTTGTATTATTTAATTTGTTACATGAAGCATCATTTTTTTTGTTAAAGAGATTTAATAAATTTATTTATAGCTTTTTGTATTCATGATTTTTTAGAAATGAACTTAGAACAGTGATGTCAGTTAGTAGAATTTCCCATAGAAGAAAAATACGGATGATCCGGCTGTGAATTGACTCTACTCTGATAATTTCTAATATATTAAAATTCTTCAGTAATAACAGAGATACAGAAAGGAGCATATTGAAGCTAAAGTTTAGAGGTGCTTTCCCTGGGATCAAAATTTTCCAATTGCCTATATTCTTGATTCACATAATGTTAAAGATTTTATTTATTTTATTTTAGAAATCTTTTAAAAGATTCATATATATATATATTTGCAAATATATTTAGCAGCAAACTAGTTACAGTTAATATATTCACCAATTCAAGATAAATATTGTTTCCATGTGAAAACAAAGTTAAGAAATTCTCATAATGCCCTTGATTAAGACTTTAACCTTTCTTTTGCCAAGATATGAATTGCTTAGTGTAATTACAATTTTTATGTAAAAGAGGAAAAAATAAACTTCTGCATTTTGTGAATTTTTAAGACTTGCATTTTGTGAAGTTGTAAGGCTGCTGAGCCTTCAATAACCCCAAATAAGTGTAAATGCCCCTGTAATTTTCCAACATTAGGGATGTCTATGGTCTTAAGAGGCTATTTATTTGTTTTAGATCGCAGGTACTAATAAAAGAAAAATATTTTTGGATGTAAATATTTACTAGAAGTCTATTAGTCATAGGTTTCACATAGCACTAACAAAGTTGTTCTTTATATAAAATTTAAATAGCAGTCATTTAAAAAACTGTGAAAAAAATACCAGTAATAATTTGAGTGTCTTTGGAATGGAGAAAACAAAATACTAGCCCTTTTCTCAGTTTAGGTGTGTGTGTTATAGTCAGCTGTTCATGTTATAAACTTCTATTTTTTTCATTATGGCACTACCAGATTAATATCTTTTGTAACCAAGACCTGATTCAAGCACCTCATTTTAACAAGGGAATTCTTTCACTCTGAGGAGCTAGCAAAGCTTAGAGAAACCATGAGCAACTGATCTAAAAGCTGATGATAAATTTAAGGATTAGTTGATTCAGGTTACAAAAGAACAAAATAAATTGTAGATGATGAGATAATTATAAAGAAAAATAGAAGGATTTTATTTTCTTAATCTTTTCTAGCTTTTAAAATGAGACTGTTAAAGAATTCATGAAGAATTCTTACCACCTCTTAATACCTACTATTCATGAAGAATTCTTACCACCTCTTAATACCTACTATTATTATAACTCTTAAGTGAAAATTAGATACAGTAATTATTAGGTCAAAGGAAACCATTACTTTACCAGTTTGGGGGAGGAGGTAAGTAGAGGATGAAAATGAGAGAGAATTTGGGGCTTATAATGGGATGGGGTAGGTAAGTCATTTAGCTTGGGCCTTAAATTCATGATGTGCCTTAAATTTAGATTTTTGCTTGTAATCCCGGGAGGCTGAGGCAGGAGAATCGCTTGAACCCAGAAGGCGGAGGTTGCAGTGAGCCAAAATTGTGCCACTGTACTTCAGCCTGGGCAATAGAGCAAGACTCCATCTCAAAAAAACAATAAATTTTTAAAAAATGTTATCCCCAATTCAGTTTTTATATACCCTTGTACTTTTTGTATGTGTATTAAAGACATTAAACTATAAAATATACTACAAATTATTATAACTCTTATTTTGGCTTTTCTATGCTTCCCCTTATATATGGAGAATTAGAGCCTCCTCTTGACCTCTCAGAGGGACAAAGAGAATTTTAGATAGAAAATAGCATCAGAAAGGCCAGGCACAGTGGCTCACGCCTGTAATCCCAGCACTTTGGGAGGCTGAGGTGGGCAGATCATGAGGTCAGGCGTTGGAGACCAGCCTGGCCAATGTGGTGAAACTCTGTCTCTACTAAATACAAAAAAAAAAAAAAAAAATTAGCTGAGCATGGTGGCATATGCCTGTAATCCCAGCTACTTGGTAGGCTGAAGGCAGGAGAATTGCTTGAATTTGGGAGGTGTAGGTTATAGTGAGCTGAGATTGTGCATTTCACTCCAGCCTGGGCAACAAGAGGAAAACTACGTCTCAAAAGAAAGAAAGAAAGAAAATATCATCAGAAAACATTTATTAGATTCATGTTACGAATTAACATTAAATGAGTTTTAACTCTTGCCACTATTGTATTTTAAGACATGTACATGATTCTAAAGTTTTCCTGGAAGAAAAAAAAATATGTACAGACAGCCAGGGAAATTCTGAAAAGGAGAGTTGCTAAGGGAAACTTGATCTATCAGATGACAAAATGCAGGTAATAATAGTATCTGCTACTTATGGTTGTCATGAGGCTTAAATGATATTATTTATTGAAAATTCTTAGGACGTCTGCCACAGAAAAATGTTTAATAAATTTTTAACTGCTATTTTTTGCTTCCCTGATTTGGATATTCATTTTATTTCATTAATTGTGTGTGGTCAGGTATGGCTATGGTCAGTCATGGTGGAGAAAAAGGAGAATAAGATTCAGTTTCTGGAGTATATACTGTGATATATTTCTTAAATCTTCAATAAAGATACATGTAAAATATAAATGAAGCTAGAGTAGCAAGACTTTGGTGAAGTTTTGCATTTTCAATGCACATATCCTTCTTCCCAGAAATTTCACTTCTTTGTGAAATTCCGGGGGGTCATTCCTACATATGTACAAGGAGACAGAAAGGTTCACTGCAGCACTGTCTATAATTGTAAAATATCAAGACTACCTAAATGCCCATCAAAAAAGAAGAGGTAAAGAAATGTTAATGTCTTCATACTGTGAAATAAAATTGGGCAGTTCAAAAGAACAAAGTAGAGCTGTATATGAACATAAATCTCAAAAACATCATTGAACAAAAAGCTGCAGAATTATAGATATGGTCTGATACTGTTTGGATAAAGATGGAAGACATGCAAAATGATACAGCATTGTTTATGGATACACATGTAGTAATAGTGTAAGACATTCGTGGAATGAAAATTAAAATTTGGGATAATGATAACAACCTATTTAGAAGAAAGAAAGGGGATAGGATTCCAGAACATTCCTTAGAGAGACCCCACTCTACTTGTAATATTTTAAAAGAAAAAAAAGCAAATAAGACAACATGTTAAGATTTTATAAATCTGAGAGGAGAGTACATGGGTATTCATATTAGTCTCTTCAACTTATGTTTGAAATATTGCATGCAAATTAAGATGAATATATGAACATGTTGTGAAAGCATCAAAAAGAGAGAAGGAACCAGGCCTCTGGACTCAGAGGGGCATGGATTTGTTCTGTCTCTTCTTCTTCCTGACTCTGGCTTTGGGAGAGATGCTTTACGTCTCTGAGCTTGTTACCTCATCTATAAAATGGGGATAATAATGTCTTCATCCCAATTTGTTATGAGGAATAAATAGCTTATCCAAAATGTCTTTGTGTTAGTCTGTTTTCACACTGCTGATAAAGACATACCCAAGACTGGGAAGAAAAAGAGGTTTAATGAATGTACAGTTCAGCATGGCTGGGGTGGCCTTACAGTCATGCAGGAAGGCACAGAGGAGCAAGTCATGTCTTATGTGGATGGCAGCAGGCAAAAGAGAGCGATTGTGCAGGAGAACTCCTCTTTACAGAACCATCAGATCTCATGAGACTTATTCACTATCATGAGAACAGTATGTAGGAAAATGCTTCATGATTCAATTATCTCCCACCTGGTCCCTCCCATAACACTTGGGAATTATGGGAGTACAATACAAGATGAGATTTGGGTGGGGACACAGTGCTGAACCATATCAGCCTTTTATAGTGTTTAGGATGCAGAATTGCCTAGCACTGGGAATAAAATGTAAGCAACACGGGCATTGTCCTGCCTGTATATAACTTTAGAGTCTAGCAGGGCAGACAGATGATCAACTAATCACCCAAACAGATGTAAATTTTACCAGTGATCAGTGTCTTGAAAGACAAGTGCTGTGAATCCCTCTAATAGGGGAGTTTGTGCTGGTTAGAAAGGTCTTGAAAGGCTCCTTGAGAACAGCCTTGGGGCTGGACTTTTGAGGAAAAGAGCAGGAACTCAGTGAAGAAGCGATGGTCTAACCCAAGGAAACAGCCCTGAGATGTTGTAGGAAGGTGCACAGCCAATAGAAACTGAAGAGAGGCCAGTGAAATGGAGCAGAGAGTTCTAGTGGGAGAGTGGTGATGGCAGATAAGGCTAGAGAAGTAGGTATGAGTCAGATCCCATAGAACTCTGTTGTCCCCATTGGGTAATTTGGGGTATACAGAAAGAACCATTGGAAGCCACTGACTATTATAGTAAGCTAAAGTTCCCTAAAATCAGTGTGAACAGAAGCAGTGTTTGAAGGACTACTTGGAAACAGCTTTAAACAATGAGACATTGTTATGGAGTCTTTGAAAATGATCTGGTGAACTAGTGCAGAGCAATCAGAGCTAGTACTGATGGCTTTTTAAAAGAAGAAGAGAGTAAAGATGCAGAAACTGTATCCACTGAAATACTGGTCACCCATTGATTCTTTTTTGCCAATAGGTGTTCACCCTAATGATTCTTTGAAAAATCTGAGATCCTGTTTTAGTACAGATTCGAAGTTTATACTGTTATACAGAAAGTTAAAGCCTAAAATGGTGAACGAAGGTGAACTTAGTAATATTGGTTATATATAATGGAATCTATTTAGAATACAGTTAAATTTCTTTTTAACAGTATACCCCCCAATTGAAGTGCTTAATATATTAATGTTTTAAGTATTTTTCACATATTGATGAATTAAATATTTGTTGAGGGTTTACTATCTCCAAGTCCCCATGTTCTGTATATGGTAAGATCTCCAGGAAGGAGCTCTGCTCAGGGATTAGCTTTAAGGTGAATCATAAAATATTCTCAGTATAAGTGTCTGTGAAAGATGGGCAATAACAATCAACTACAACACTTCATGGATAAAGCATTTTTGCAAACATAAAGTGTTACAGAAATATAACATGTCCATATGTTTTGTAAGTGTACTTTTGAGAGCAGCACCTTCAAATATTCCTTTTAATTTTTAAAAAGATCTTCAAGGGAGCTTCTGTAATCTTAAAAATTAATTTCAGGAAACCTGAGGTCTGCTGTTTAGTATTAATAGCAATTTTATGTGTAAGGAGATTAAGTGCAAATACATGCTTTTGGAGGTATAAATAAAGGAAGCATTTTAATTAATGAATGTTTATTTGGCACTTTTTTTTTTTTTGTCTGGCTCTTCATTTCTTTTGATCAGTTAGAGAGTCTGTTCTATAATACATTAGGGGCTTTAACACTTTTACCTTATACTGAAACTGGAGCATAACATTAAAGAAAAAAACTTTATAATATGTATAAAAACTCCACTTTGAGGACTCTTTAAGAAACTATAAGTATGTAAAAAAAAGTCTTACATCAAACGTATTACCATTCATGATAATACATGAATGAAATACTTTTTTATGATAACAAAAATCAGAAGCAATCAAAATGTTTAATCATAGAGTGAATGTTTGTATAAATTATGAGATATCTGTACCCATTACAAATTATACTTATGAAGATTAAATTAACTTGAGAAAGTGATTGTTATGATATTAAACGGAGAAAAAACAGGATGTACAATCTCAGTTATACCTTAAAAAGAGAAACAGACATGGGCATATAAAAAAGTTTGGAAATATATACACCAAAATGTTAAGAGGGTATTTTGGTCATTGAGATCATGGATGATTGTTATTTCATTGTTCGTGTTTTTCTGTGCGGTCTAATTTTTCTTCAGTTTGCATGTGCTACTTTTGTAATCAGAAAGCACGGGAATATTATATAAATCCCTTCTAGAGCTGTGATCACACCACCACACTTCAGTCTGGATGACAGTGAGACCCCCTCTCGAAAAATAAAATAAAATCACTTCTACAATGACCTTTTGATGCTAGGGAATGCAGGCCTTTGCAGCAGATTCTATTCATGGAAGGCTGTTTGTCACAGGTAAGAATTTAGGTCTTTCAAAGAGTGGGCAACATTTTTCTTTTTGAATGAATCACCTAAGAATAAAGATGGTTCTGGTGGAAAGTGATTTCCTGTGTGGAGAGGCACGAGGATTACTTGAGGCTAGGAATTCAAGACCAGCCTGGGCAACATGGCAAAACTTTGTCTCTATAACAAATATAAATATTAGCTGAGTGTGGTGGTGTGTGCCTCTGGTCCTAGCTACTCTGGTGGCTGAGGCAGGAAGATCACCTGAACTCAGGAGTTCAAGGCTGCAGTGAGCTGTAATTGCACCACTATA